TACTCTAAAATAACATATATACACTAAAACAATAACACCATATTTAAATAGATTTAAAATAATATTATATATATATATATATATATATATATATATATATATATATATATATATATATATATATATATATGTATAATTAATATGAATATATATATTAATTATCAAATATTAATAATTCAAATCATTTGCATACCATTGACGTTGAAGAAATTTTAAATGCTTTGGGTGGAACTTTGCAATGAATGAACTATCGGCAGTAAATGGAATAGGAAAAGTCTGAAATTTTCCTGTAACCGATTAAATGAATATTTAAATATTTTTTTATATATAAAATTAAAATGGTAGATAACAAAAACAAATATTTGTACAAAAACATTTTAAAATTGTATGCGCCATATAAATTAGGTAAAAAAACTTTTCATATAATTTTGGAATTCATCTAATAAATAATACTCTTTCAGAAAAAAAACTATTTTTAGAAATAAATCCGGTTATCGAACATTTTAAAACTAAAATATTCTGTTGTCTTTAAATAATCTTCAACAATACTTTGTAATTTTCCGAGAGTAGCATGCAATTTTATCTTTGTTCAAATGATTTTCATTGCCTATTTTCCGTTTAATGATACAGATTCCTGATTAAATCCAAACCATTTTTCAACTCTTGAGGATTGATTTGAATTTTCAAGTAACGCCACAGATTCTCGATTCGTTTTAAATCAGGGGACTTTTTGGCGAATTCAAGATATTTGCATTATTTTTAGCAAACCATTTCTTCGTAGATTTTGCAGTGTGCTTAGGATCATTATCTTGTTGGAAGATCCAATCAGAAGGAAGTTCAAGATTTTCAACTGAAATTATTAAATTTGCTTCAAAAATATTTTGATATGCTGCGGCATTCATTCTACCATCTATTACTGATATGTTGTCGGCACCTTTTGCAGAAAAAACATCCCAAAACCATGATGCTGCTACCAACAAATTTCACGTTTGAAACTGAGTTTTTTGTTTGAAGACATTGCCATCTTTCCTCCATATATGATTTCTAGAATTACGTCCAAATAACTCAATTTTGGTTTCGTCTCTCCATAATACTCTTTCCCAATACGATTTTTTCTTATCCTTATATTCACGAACGAATTTCAACCTGGCATCTCTGTGTCTTTTCAATAGCAGTGGAGTTTTCCGATGACATCCTGACTTTAGATTGTTCCTATGAATTTCATTTCTTATTGTCCGTTTAGTGACACAGAGATGAAACTCATCCTGCAACTCTTGACGAGTAACCATTGGATTTTGTTTAATTTGATGCATTAATTTTCTTGAAGATCCAAAGAAATCTTCCGTGGATCACCTGTTCTTCTTTGGTTTTCAACAGTTTTGAGTTTTTTATGTCTTGCAATGAATGAACTAATGGTATTAAATGGAATATTCACTTTGTCTGAGATTTTCCTTTAACTTTTATCTTCTTTCCAAAGCTTTAACAATCAGTTCTTTTTTGCGAATTTGTCAATTCTTTACCTCTTTCCATGATGAAAACCTTCTTGCACGGATATCAATTACAGAATGTTCTGTTTGTATTTTTAGGCTAAAAATACCTACTGATAACATTATTGAAACATTCTAGAATATTCCAATTGAATAATCTAGAGTATTAAAGCAATTTAAAAAGTTTTAAAATCTGAAATTTGCATTGTACAAATACTTTTTTGGATAAATGGGATTTATTTCTATTAAATCAAATATCTGTCTGTTTTCTATGCATATTTAGTTATTATGCATCTGTGTACAGTTAATTGTATGAAATGTATATTTATTCATGAGTCGGAAGTGCAATAATTAAAGTTTTGTATATGGACGAATATTGTTTTCCCCGTCTTTATTTTATATTAATTATTTTATTAAAATTTATTTTATTATTTTATGTTTTATCATTATAACTATTTAATTAAAATTTATTCTTCATTATCTTTTATAATTTTATTTTCCTTCTTAATTATTTTATTTAATTTTATTTATGTAATCTCTAAATACATAGCAAGAGTACTGGGCTATATGTTGAAGCAATATTCAAAGCAAAGACGAATGGTAGACTTATAAATATGTAAGTTAGATTCTGGCGGTAAAATTCTATAGCCCAACACAGTGAACCAAGTTTCTTCACTTTTTCTTTTTTAATATTTTATTTATTAAAATTTTCTTTAAATTATTTAACTTTTAAAGATATATGCAATAGTTTTCACATTCATTTTAATCTGTTTTATTTAAAATATATTTCATCCATTCTGAACATGCCAACTAAAATGAAACAATATATATATTTTTTTTAATATCGAAGACAACAGCTAGACTTGAAAATCGTGGGGAAAGAAACAAAGAAATGGCAAATATAATTTTTTTTGAAAAATCGTCGAAGACTGTTTATAACAAAATTCTTCACCTCGTCATAACAAATATACAATTTTCTGGAATCATACCCATGGGAATTTTTCCAAACGAAATTTAATGAGCCAAGCAGAAAAATGCAGAGAAATCAATATATGTTTGTAAATTTTCTTTTTCCGGAATCGTATTTACCAATAATTTAACTCAGATTCCACGTTCTACTTTAAAAGATTTTCTTTTCTTTTTTTCTCGTCATTTTTATTTATTTATTTTTTTAACGCATCATTCTTCTATTTTTCTCCTTGAATGAGTTTTCATAATGCTTTTAGTTTCATATTCCATCCATGCAAAGGAAGGTCAGTGAGTAGATGGGGTGGCGGTCATTGTTGCAATTCATATTAGTTTTCGTCAAGGCAGACGTGGAAATAGTTGCTGGAATAGCAATGGATTTTAGAAAAATAAATTAAATTTTAGTGCATTCATCCAAGTCTCACCACATAAATTCTGATGACTATATCGCTATTGGACATTGAACAAAAAAACTATAAAAAGAAATCCTCAATATGTTTTTTCAAAGTGTACTTGCGAATTATAAAGCAAAATAATAAATATATCAACAGAAAAAATACCGAAATAAAAATGCACATCAGGAAACACTGTATACTCATAGAGACAAGGCTAAACCACAGAAATGTAGTTCGAAACGGCAATAAAGATAGATAATATGAACATTTTATTAACAAAAAACAACACATGGTCCAATGAAAGTAAATCACATCATTCTCTCACATGTTTAATCTCTATATATATAATTCAAAATAAAAATATATAAGACTAGACTTATGAAGACCCGTCATACTTTGTTCTTTCTTTTATTTTCCAATCACAGTAATCTGTAATAAAAAGAACATTATTCGACAATTCTATCCAAAGGTACGTTGTGAAAACAGAAAAAAAGGATATAATAAAAATAAATCCCAGTTCTCCATTTTAATGGGTGAAATAATAAAGAATAAATTTTAAAAATTAATTTAATTTCAATTTGGATTCGAAAGTAAACAATATATCAAGGGGGGTAACTCTTGTTCTTTTAGCCTAAAAAACCCATGTTAGAAATATAATATAATGTGCAAAAATAAATAATAGGTCGAGACTATATATCTAATGTACATATAAGGGTGAAACAAAATCTACACACACGTTATAAATTCATCGAGTACATTAATGTTACATTGTGTGTGTGAATAGGGATATAAGGAAAATATTAGATAATGAGTTCTAAGAATATTAAAGTTGTTGGATATTATATAAATATTCGTAAAATCCATTTTGCAATCACTTTTAATCGGGGTCAAAGTTTTTGAGCAGGTACTTGGATTTGTGTATGCCAGTAGATATTAATTCGGACCTATGTTCAGCAAGTTAGGATTATGTAAGTGCTTTAATAATAAACTTCTCCAACGAAGATAAGTTACATCTGTCTCCCTTTCTGTTATATGGCTTGCTTTCGCAATTGTCTCCCAGTTAATGGTTGGGTTTTTATGGTTGCTTTTTAATCACCAAACTGACATTGAAGCGCTGTACAGTCTTTTGAATTTGATGTTGCTCAATGTCATTTTGTGGTGGTAGAAACACGATTCCCAGCTATTCTCAGCGGATCCAAGGTAATATTTGACATCTTTTGTAGAGTGGTTTCACAGTGGAGGCTTGTATTTGTACTAAGTCGGTCCTAAAATAGGTTCGACGTACAAAACGTTAGGAACTTCATATAATAGGTAATGACACAGAGAAATCTAGTGGTGGTCGCTGATACATTTAGTATCCAACTAACGGTCGTCCGACATCGACTGACTGACCAACTCACTGAGCGACTTCGCGACTGACTCGTTACTCTTACTACTCCTACTTATTATAGGTGGGAGAGTCTATTAACTATAGAATAGGTGTGTTCCACTATAACAACATCATCGTCTGATTTGATGCTAGCTCTGGATATATAGATTTTTAGATCATAGATAGACTGCCCGTTTAATGGGCAGGTTAAGTCAACAGATTTTATAGATAGCAGATGCATTGACTTTTAGATAGAGGATTATTTTTAGTGTTTTGTTTGGGAATATGCTTAATACATTATTGTTATATTGGGATATGTAATTATCTGTGTTTTTTTTTGTTTTTTTTTTTTTGTACAACTACAGCTTACCTTAATGTTACTTTTCTTGAAAATCTTTTTCCGTGTTGGAGAATGACCAAAGTGTTTATGAAATAAATTCAAGAAAATTCTACCAAGAGACCAAAAAATATATAACATTACTGTGGTATGGTGGGTTGAACCATATTATGTTATGTTTTCGATTGTAGATTTTAATTTATTTTTATATTTGTTGTTATTTATCCATACATAATCCAGTTTCACATTATCATATATATATATATATATATATATATATATATATATATATATATTCATATATATATATATATATGTGTGTGTGTGTGTGTGGATCCTAAATAAATTTTACCGTTTATTGTGTTTTTTAAAAGATTTTAGCTTCTAGATTGATTCTTAGTCTATTCATGTCATTGGCCAAGTCAGATGTTTATTATCAGAATATGATGGGAGGCCGAGATAGAGAAATGGACATTTGGAAACAACTTCCAGATGTTATATTTATTTCTCTGGCAGTAGAGAAGGCATCGGGCTTGTTTTTAATAGAAAACAACAAAGGTTATTCAAGTTATTTATGAGCACAAACCTAATCTTCACTAGAGTTTTCCCCCCCCCCCTTTGTCTCTCTCACATCTTAAATGTAATCAATTCACGAATTCTCTATCCCTCTTTCCTATATATATATATATATATATCCATTTCAGTCTTTTCATCTATCATTCAGTTCATTCATCTATCTATCTATCTATCTATCTATCTATCTATCTATCTATCTATCTAACAGTCTATCCGATCTATCTAACTCAGTCTATTTATATCTATCTATCTATCTATCTATCTCTCTATCTATCTATTTTGTTCATTATCTGAGTCTTATAATCTATCTCAGTCTGCTATCTATATCTATCAGTTATATATCTATCTATATATATAATTATCTGATTCTTTTTCATATCTCATCTTATTTATACTAAATATATCTATAAATCTATCTATCTATCTATCTATCTATCTAAATCTAAGTCACTATATATATCTATCTACATTAAATCTATCTATCTATCTATCTATCTATCTGTTCATTATCTGAGTCTTATAATCTATCTCAGTCTGACAATCTATCTATCAAGCTATCTATCTCTGTATATTATATGATTCTTTTCATCTATCTCTGTGAAAGAAAGACTATCTATCTATCTATCTATCTGGGATATCTATATCTATCTATCTAAATCAAATTAATCTACATATAAATATATCTATTTATCTATTTATCTATCTATCTATATATATCTGTCTGTTCATTATCTATCTTATAATATATTCAGTCTATCTTCTATCTATCAGTGTCTATCTATCTATATATATTATCTATTCTTTTCATTTATCTTTTGTCTGTTAAATCTATCTATCTATCTAAATCTATCATATCAAATATCTATCTCATCTATAAAACCATCTATCTATCTATCTATCTATCTATCTATCTATCTATCTATCTGTTCATTATCTGAGTCTTATAATCTATCTCAGTCTTTATAAATCTATCAACATATCTATCTATATGTATATATATATATGATTATTTTCATCTATATATCTGTCTGATAATTATCTATCTATCTATCTATCTATCTATCTATCTTGTTCATTTTCATCTATCTATCTATCTATCTATCTGTTCATTATCTGAGTCTTATAATCTATCTCAGTCTGCTATCTATCTATCAAGCTATCTATCTCTGTATATTATCTGATTCTTTTCATCTATCTCTGTCTGCTATCTATCTATCTATCTATCTATCTATCTATCTATCTCAGTCTCTTCATCTATCTATCTATCTATCTATCTATCAATCTATCTATCTATCTATGTATCTATCTATCTATCTGTTCATTATCTGAGTCTTATAATCTATCTCAGTCTGCTATCTATCTATCAAGCTATCTATCTCTGTATATTATCTGATTCTTTTCATCTATCTCTGTCTGATATCTATCTATCTATCTATCTATCTATCTATCTATCTCAGTCTCTTCATCTATCTATCTATCTATCTATCTATCTGTTCATTATCTGAGTCTTATAATCTATCTCAGTCTGCTATCTATCTATCATATATCTATCTCTGTATATTATCTGATTCTTTCATCTATCTCTGTCTGCTATCTATCTATCTATCTATCTATCTATTCCATCTATCTATCTATCTCAGTCTCTTCATCTATCTATCTAAATCTATCTATCTATCATCTATCTATTCATCTATCTATCTGTTCATTATCTGAGTCTTATAATCTATCTCAGTCTGCTATCTATCTATCAATCTATCTATCTCTGTATATTCTGATTCTTTTCATCTATCTATGTATCTATCTATCTATCTATCTATCTATCTATCTATCTATCTATCTATCTAAATGAAGAGTCACTTCTATCTATCTATCTATCTATCTATCTATCTATCTATTTTTCATTATTTGGATCCTTATAATCTATCTCAGTCTGCTATCTATCTATATATCTATCTATCTCTGTATATTATCTGATTCTTTTCATCTATCTCATCTATCTATCTATCTATCTATCTATCTATCTATCAATCTATCTATCTATTTTTCAGAATCTATCTATAAATCTATCTATCTATCTATCTATCTATCTATCTGTTCATTATCTGAGTCTTATAATCTATCTCAGTCTGCTATCTATCTATCAATTCTATCATATCTCTTATATTATCTGATTCTTTTCATCTATCTCTGTCTATCTATCTATCTATCTATCTATCTATCTATCTATCTCAGTCTCTTCATCATCTATTTCATCTATCTATCTATTCTATCTATCTATCTATCTATCTATCTGTTCATTATCTGAGTGATTATAATCTATCTCAGTCTGCTATCTATCTATCAAGCTATCTATCTCTGTATATTATCCTGATTCTTTTCATCTATCTATTATTCTATTCATCTATCTATCTATCTATCTATCTATCTATCTATCTATCTCATTCATCTATCTATCTATCTATCTATCTATCTATCTATCTGTTCATTATCTGAGTCTTATAATCTATCTCAGTCTGCTATCTATCTATCTATAAATCTATCTCTGTATATTATCTGATTCTTTTCATCTATCTTTGTTCCATCTATCTATCTATCTATCTATCTATCTATCTATCTATCTCAGTCTCTCATCATCTATATATCTATCTATCTATCTAAAATCTATCTATCTATCTATCTGTTCATTATCTGAGTCTTATAATCTATCTCAGTCTGCTATCTATCTATTTTTCTATCTATCTCTGTATATTATCTGATTCTTTTCATCTATCTCTGTCTATCTATCTATCTATCTATCTATCTATCTATCTATCTATCTATCTATCTCAGTCTCTTCATCTATCTATCTATCTATCTATCTATCTATCTATCTATCTATCTATCTGTTCATTATCTGAGTCTTATAATCTATCTCAGTCTGCTATCTATCTATCAAGCTATCTATCTCTGTATATTATCTGATTCTTTTCATCTATCTATCTAATTCTATCTATCTATCTATCAAATCCATCTATCTATCTATCTATCTATCTATCTCAAAATCTCATCTATCTATCTATCTATCTAAAAATGTTCATTATCTGAGTCTTATAATCTATCTCAGTCTGCTATCTATCTATCAAGCTATCTATCTCTGTATATTATCTGATTCTTTTCATCTATCTCTGTAAATATCTATCTATCTATCTATCTATCTATCTATCTCAGTCATTCATCTATCTATCTATCTATCTATCTATCTATCTATCTATCTATCTATTATCTATCTATCTATCTGTTCATTATGATAAAGTCAATTTATAATCTATAAACCAGTTTGCTATCTATCTATCAGCTATCTATCTCTATATATTATCTGATTCTTTTCATCTACTGTCTCTGTAATATCTATCTATCTATCTATCTATCTATCTATCTATCTCATCTCTTCATCTATCTATCCATCTATCTATCTATCTGTTCATTATCTGAGTCTTATAAAATCTCAGTCTCTTCTATCTATGCTAAGCTATCTATCTGCATATATATCTGATTCTTTTCATCTATCTCTGTCTAATCTATCTAAAGAGATCTTTCTATCTATTTATATATCTATCTATCTATCTATCTATAAATCTATCTATCAGTCTCTTCATCTATCTATCTATCTATCTATCTATCTATCTATCTATCTGTTCAGAATCTGAGTCTTATAATCTATCTCAGTCTGCTATCTATCTATCAAGTCTATTTATCTATCTATATTATCTATTCTTTTATCTATCTCTGTTTCATCTATCTATCTATCTATCTATCTATCTATCTATCTATCTATCTATCTATCTGTTCATTATCTGAGTATTATAATCTATCTCAGTCTATATCTATCTATCAAGCTATATATATCTCTGTATATTATCTGATTCTTTTCATCTATCTCTGTTATATTTATATCTATCTATCTATCTATCTATCTATCTATCTATCTATCTCATCTCTTCTATCTATCTATCTATTCATCTATCTATCTATCTATCTATCTATCTATCTGTTCATTATCTGAGTCTTATAATCTATCTCAGTCTTCTATCTATCTATCAACTATCTATCTCTGTATATTATCTGATTCTTTTCATCTATCTCTGTATCTATCTATCTATCTATCTAAAAACATCTATCTATCTATCTATCTCAGTCTCTTCATCTATCTATCTATATCTATCTATCTATCTATCTATCTATTCATTATCTCAGTCTTATAATCTATCTCATCTATCTATCTATCTATATTATCTATCTATCTATAATCTATCTGATTCTTTCATCTATCTAACAAATCTATCTATCTATCTATCTATCAAATATCTATCTATCTCATCTCTTGAATCTATATATATATCTATCTATCTATCTATCTATCTATCTATCATTATCTGAGTCTTATAATCTAAAAAGTCTTATCTATAAAATCTATCTATCTCTATATATTATCTGATTCTTTTCATCTATCTCAAACAATGCTATCTATCTATCTATCTATCTATCTATCTCATCTTTCTATCTATCTATCTATCTATCTATCTATCTATCTTCTATCTATCATTATCCATCTTATAATCTATCTCAGTCTATCTATCTATCTATCAATCTATCTAAGAAATGTATATTATCTGATTCTTTTCATCTATCTCTGTCCTATCTATCTATCTATCTATCTAAATCTATCTATCTATCTATCAATCTATCTATCTATCTATCTCAGTCTCTTCATCTATCTATCTATCTATCTATCTATCTGTTCATTATCTGAGTCTTATAATCTATCTCAGTCTGCTATCTATCTATCAAGCTATCTATCTCTGTATATTATCTGATTCTTTTCATCTATCTCTGTCTGCTATCTATCTATCTATCTATCTATCTATCTATCTATCTCAGTCTCTTCATCTATCTATCTATCTATCTATCTATCTATCTTTTTCATTATCTGAGTCTTATAATCTATCTCAGTCTGCTATCTATCAAGCTATCTATCTCTGTATATTATCTGATTCTTTTCATCTATCTCTGTCTATCTATCTATCTATCTATCTATCTATCTATCTATCTCAGTCTCTTCATCTATCTATCTATCTATCTATCTATCTATCTATCTATCTGTTCATTATCTGAGTCTTATAATCTATCTCAGTCTTTTATCTATCTATCAAAAAATCTATCTCTGTATATTATCTGATTTTTTTCATCTATCTCTGTCTGCTATCTATCTATCTATCTAATTATCTATCTATCTATCTATCTCAGTCATCTTCATCTATCTATCTATCTATCTATCTATCTATCTATCTATCTATCTATCTCAATTATCTGAGTCTTATAATCTATCTCAGTCTATTATCTATCTATCAATCTATCTATCTCTGTATATTATCCGATTCTTTCATCTATCTCTGTCTGCCATCTATCTATCTATCTATCTATCCATCTATCTATCTATCTATCTATCTCTTCATCTATCTATCTAAATATCTATCTATCTATCTATCTATCTGTTCATTATCTGAGTCTTATAATCTATCTCAGTCTGCTATCTATCTATCAAGCTATCTATCTCTGTATATTATCTGATTCTTTTCATCTATCTCTGTCTATCTATCTATCTATCTATCTATCTATCTATCTATCTATCTATCTATCTATCTATCTATCTATCTCAGTCTCTTCATCTATCTATCTATCTATCTATCTATCTATCTATCTGTTCATTATCTGAGTCTTATAATCTATCTCAGTCTGCTATCTATCTATCAAGCTATCTATCTCTGTATATTATCTGATTCTTTTCATCTATCTCTGTCTGCTATCTATCTATCTATCTATCTATCTATCTATCTATCTATCTATCTATCTCAGTCTCTTCATCTATCTATCTATCTATCTATCTATCTATCTATCTATCTATGTATCTATCTATCTGTCTGAGTCGTTTCATGTCCCTGTTCACTATTTGTCTATCAAAGTCTGTTCATTATCTAGCTAGCTAGATTTTTTCCCAGCATTTTTAGCGATGGATCACATGAATGAGTTCCACTTGAAGTCTGGAGTGAAGTTGAATCTTAATAGACGTTCAAAGAATAGAATCACTTTGAGAATGCAAATCCCTTATCGTGACTGGAGAGTGATTGATGAATTTGTTTGTTTAACAGCACATCAAATCCCTATGAATCATTTAATGCCGAAATTTAATTTTCTTCTTAGCTTTGAGGTAATAAAAATATGATATATTGTTATTCTGCTTTCGCAATTGAATACATGGTAGATAATGCTCAGCTTTTTTGCAGATATATGTTTGTGTTGGTTGGTTGATTTTGTTTAGCGGCATATCAACCTCTATGGGTTATTTAATGCCGAAATTTAAATATTATGAACACATTTTGATGACATCAACTAAATATATTTTGAATGAAATTACAAGCCTTTTTCTATAAACATTATTGTTGGTAATTCTACTATAAAATGTATTGTTGGTCATTTTACTATAAATATGTATTGATGTTATTTTTACTATAAAAATGTATTTTATACATTGATAGTATTTTCTTTTTGTTTGTGGGGTTCACTTTTTGCCCATAGCTGGGGCACTAGCAAATGCTACAACCCAGGATCAGGGTGGGCGTAGTAACAACAGCACGTAAGGGGTCGTTTCAGGCTCCTTAAAAGCTTCAACATTCCGATCAAAGGACTTCTTAGCAGATGTATTTTATCACCATAACCAGGATTTTTACACTTGAAAGAATTCAAGGTTTGCATTCTGATGACGAAAAGGTACTAGGTCTGTACTAGTTGGATCAGTGATCGAATTCTATAGGCTAACTAGACACCTGAAGAAGGCCGGAAATCACAACAGTTGAAACGTTAAGATAATAATAACAAATACGAAGTCATCAGTCTGAATGTAAATAATGATATTATAAAACTCATGCCAGAAATCCCTTTTTTTCTAACTTTATAATTATTTCACTACCAGGAAGGCGATAATGCTACTAAGACGCTAGGGGGTTACTTGGAATGAAAAGGAATGGGAAGACTTTAGTGAAAAGAAAGGACAATAAAAGAACAGATGTCAGGAAGACTGAAATGGCAATTGACGTTGCATTTACATTTTTGAATTTTATACGTGAGAGGGCAACAAGAAATAATTCCACAGGCGAGAAAAGAAACTAGAAGATTTATAAATATGCAAGTTGGATTCTGATGAGAGAACATTGTCTGGCACGACACAGTGAACCAACTATTCTGGCTGCAAACCTAGCAATTGATGCAATATAATCAGTAGATGGATTCTGACGAGAAAAGATTGTCTGGCACGACTCAGTGAACCAACTATTCTGGCTGCAAACCCAGAATTGATGCAATATAATCAGTAGATGGATTCTGACGAGAAAAGATTGTCTGGCACGACACAGTGAACCAACTATTCTGGCTGCAAACCTAGCAATTGATGCAATATAATCAGTAGATGGATTCTGACGAGAAAAGGTTGTGTGGCACGACACAGTGAACCAACTATTCTGGCTGTAAACCTAGCAATTGATGCAATATAATCAGTAGATGGATTCTGACGAGAAAAGATTGTCTGGCACGACACAGTGAACCAACTATTCTGGCTGCAAACCTAGCAATTGATGCAATATAATCAGTAGATGGATGCTGACGAGAAAAGATTGTGTGGCACGACACAGTGAACCAACTATTCTGGCTGAAAACCTAGCAATTGATGCAATATAATCAGTAGATGGATTCTGACGAGAAAAGATTGTGTGGCACGACACAGTGAACCAACTATTCTGGCTGCAAACCTAGCAATTGATGCAATATAATCAGTAGATGAATTCTGACGAGAAAAGATTGTCTGGCACGACACAGTGAACCAACTATTCTGGCTGCAAACCTAGCAATTGATGCAATATAATCAGTAGATGGATTCTGACGAGAAAAAGATTTGTGGCACGACACAGTGAACCAACTATTCTGGCTGCAAACCTAGCAATTGATGCAATATAATCAGTAGATGGATTCTGACGAGAAAAGATTGTAAATAAACGACACAGTGAACCAACTATTCTGGCTGCAAACCTAGCAATTGATGCAATATAATCAGTAGATGGATTCTGACGAGAAAAGATTGTCTGGCACGACACAGTGAACCAACTATTCTGGCTGCAAACCTAACAATTGATGCAATATAATCAGTAGATGGATTCTGACGAGAAAAGATTGTCTGGCACGACACAGTGAACCAACTATTCTGGCTGCAAACCTAGCAATTGATGCAATATAATCAGTAGATGGATTCTGACGAGAAAAGATTGTCTGGCACGACACAGTGAACCAACTATTCTGGCTGCAAACCTAGCAATTGATGCAATATAATCAGTAGATGGATTCTGACGAGAAAAGATTGTCTGGCACGACACAGTGAACCAACTATTCTGGCTGCAAACCTAACAATTGATGCAATATAATCAGTAGATGGATTCTGACGAGAAAAGATTGTCTGGCACGACACAGTGAACCAACTATTCTGGCTGCAAACCCTAGCAATTGATGCAATATAATCAGTAGATGGATTCTGACGAGAAAAGATTGTCTGGCACGACACAGTGAACCAACTATTCTGGCTGCAAACCTAGCAATTGATGCAATATAATCAGTAGATGGATTCTGACGAGAAAAGATTGTCTGGCACGACACAGTGAACCAACTATTCTGGCTGCAAACCTAGCAATTGATGCAATATAATCAGTAGATGGATTCTGACGAGAAAAGGTTGTGTGGCACGACACAGTGAACCAACTATTCTGGCTGAAAACCTAGCAATTGATGCAATATAATCAGTAGATGGATTCTGACGAGAAATGATTGTCTGGCACGACACAGTGAACCAACTATTCTGGCTGCAAACCTAACAATTGATGCAATATAATCAGTAGATGGATTCTGACGAGAAAAGGTTGTGTGGCACGACACAGTGAACCAACCTTTCCGGCGACAAACCTAGCAACTGATGCAATTTAACCACTTGACGGATTCTGACGAGAAAAAAATATCTGGCACGATGGTGTGGACCAACTTTTCTGGCGGAAAATCTAAAAATGGATGCAATAGAATCACTAGAATTCATAGTAAAAAAAACGTGACCCTACGCAAGAGTGTAAAGTTGTTCTCCTGGTGATTAGCATCAGCCGTTTTGATAGAAGGCAAAACGTGTTCTCTATGAGGATTAAAAGATAACAGAAACGTTTTTGAAGGCTTCAGACAGAAATGAAAACTAGTGTCTGGGAACTCGTACCCCGGGACAATACGGATGATCATTGATCTATATATATCTTATTTCTTTTAGTGTGCCTGAATTGCTATGATTTATTGGGATAATTAATGTGATGGCTTCCTGTTGACTTAGAGATTTGCTGTTACTCGAGGCTCAAGTATCTGTTTTGCTATTTAACTCATAACTGAGGAGGAGAAAAATAATAGATTCATGCCTTTTCTCTCGTCAGAATCCATGCAAATCTACCACTTAACCACTGCTACCATATCCTGTTATTTATCTGGAGGATCTTGACACAATCGAAAAAAGGATCTGTAATGTAATGGATCCTGAGCAGCCATCTCAACTTCAGTCATCTTCTCACTGACGTGACGTGGCTTCCCTATGTCTTTTCTACAAATATTTTCCCGGCAACTGTTCTGACGAACTTTTACCCCTGTTGCCCTGACTATATGAATTTATGCGTGCTGCTATATTGGAATTTAGGTCCCACCGTTTACTGTTTAAATAGCTGAATTCAACCACCACATCTCCTCCAGCATTTTTTCTCACACTTCCCGCCTGTGGAACTCCCTTCCATTTATCTGCTTCCCCGACAACTAGAATCTTCAAAAATGTAAATGCAACGTCAATCGACATCTTCTATCTTCTTGAATCCCGTTCATCTTTTTTCTTTTCCTCAATCTTACCCATTCTCGGTGTTCTTTTTCCCGTTCACTCACTGTAACCCCCTGCGTACTAGTCGAATTCTCGCCTTGCTTGGGGTGAAATGATTAAAATCAAAGTTCATAAGTGGCAGAATATTGAGAAAAAATGCCGATTAATTTTTTACGGTTTAACAACCTTTTGCCGATTATTTAATGTAATAAAATCTTAGTGGGATTGTCGCATTGCTTGGTGGGGGAGGGGTGAAAGAATAAAAAAAATGGCATTAGACTAAACCAGGATTTGAATGCGTCTCACCGATTCTGCTCCCGGTGCCAATAAAGGTCACACTAACCGGATATTTAAAGAAGCTTTTAATAAATCCAAATTCTGCTTATTTTTCCAAGCAGTGGTTGGTATGAAGAAAGAGATAGCAATTCAACAGTGGTAGCAAACTGCAGCAGGAAAACTTGCTACTGTTTGTACCACTAGGCATCATTAGAATTTCTTCTGAATACCTGTCATGCAGATTTGACAATATCTTTTCTCTTGCAAAACTTGAAAGAATCGTTCGATGCGTTGGCCCTTTTCAACTCTAGGGTTGTCGAGGCAGAGACAAGGTTAATTTGTATCTGAAGTGATAGGCGAAACTGACTTGTCCAGGCTTTTGTCCCCGCTTGATTGTCCAGTCGATAACTCTGCATCGACCTTCCGTAAATAGATGCTTTGACACTGAATTACGCGTAGGAACAAATGCCTCCTGGCATTTGGTTGCTTCATTGCAATAGCATCTCTCTCTTTTTATCGCCCACTATCTCTCTCTCTCTCGCTCTCTCTCTTTCTCTCTCTCCCGGCACAATTGCCCGCGCGCATACAACCACGCCAACTCACGCAAATGTACATAAACACACGCACACAAACAAATGCCATGTCGCACAGACACATAACTATGGCTACAAAACTACGAACACAAACAATTATGCAGGCTTTTTTCTTCTATACTATGTCTGTCTTTCTATTGGGATTCATTCGACATCTCTCTCTCTCTCTCTCTGTCTTTCTCTTTCTTTCTTCATTTTTTCCTATCGATATGCACATATTCAAATATCTCTGGATCCTCACTCTCTCTCTCTGTTCATGTGTACGATGGCCTATAGGTATCTATCTATCTATCTATCTATCTATCTATCTATCTATCTATCTATCTTATTCTGTTCATTATCTATCTATCTATCTATCTATCTATCTATCTATCTATCTATCTATCTATCTATCTATCTATCTATCTATCTATCTCAGTCTGTTCATATCTAATTCATTCTGTTCATCTATCTCAGTCACTTCATCTATCTATCTATCTATCTATCTATCTATCTATCTATCTATCTATCTATCTATCTATCTATTCTGTTCATATTTATCTATCTATCTATCTATTCATCTATCTATCTATCTCATATCTATTATATCTAATTCATTCTGTTCATCTATCTAGTCTATCATCTATCTATCTATCTATCTATCTATCTATCTATCTATCTATCTATCTATCTATCTATTCTATCTATCTATCTATCTATCTATCTATCTCAAATATATATTTCAGTTTGTTCTATTTCTATCTCTCTTCATCTGAAATGTTCATATCTATCTACGTATTCAAATTGATATATATCTATCTATTTATATATCTATCTATCACATCTATCTAATATCTATCTCAAATATTTATTACAGTCTCTTCCATTTTCTATCTATCTCTCTCTATCTATCTCTCTCTCTCTCTATCTCTCTCTCTATTATATATATATATATATGAAATATTGTTTATATCTTTCTCATATCATTTCTATCTATATTATCTATCTATCATCTATCTAAAGATGGATCTATCTATCTATCTATCTATCTATCTATCTATCTATCTATCTATCTATATCAATCTGTTAATTATCTATCTATCTATCTAAATCTATTTATTTCTCTATCTATATATCAATGTCTATATTATTCTCTCTCTTTTTATCTATCTCTCTGTTTTCATATCTAAAGTTTAATTCATTCAAAAAAAAAATTTTCATCATTCCATTTCTATATAAAATTCATGTCTGTCATATCCCTATTCAAATGGAAATCTATCAATGATCATCTATCTATCTAATATCTATCTATTTTATCTATCTATCATCTATCAGATCTATCTAATCTATCTATCTATCTATATATCTATCTCAATCTATCTCTCTTTCTAATCTCTATCTCTCTTCTCTGATCTATCTCTTTTTAAATAATATATGACCTCCAATTCAAACCTATCTTTCTCATTCCATTTCTATCTATATTCATTATATCATAATTCAAATTTATCTATATATCTATCTAAATATCTAATATCTATCTATCTATTATTTTCTGTTCATATCTATCTATCTAAAATATCTATTTTATTTTAATATCAAAATCTATCTATCTCTCTTGTATTTTTCTCTCTCTCTCTCTATCTATCTATTTTATGAAAATATAATATACCTATTTAAAAATATATATCTTTCTCATTCCAATTGAATTATAAATTTTGAAAAATGTCTTACAGGGCCTATTCAGATGGATTTATTTATATATCTATCTATATTTCCTATTATCCTTATATATAAAAAAATATAAAAAAATATCTTTTATATATATATTATTATTTTCCATCTCTTTCTCTGAAAATCTATCTATCTAAATATCTATCTATTAATCATAAAACACAATATATCTAAATAACAAATTTCCATATCTTTCCGGTTTATCAAAATATATATTTTCAATGTTTTCTGTCTGTCTCTCCGCCCTCGGAAAATAGAATTTATTCTTTGAAATTTTTATATATAATATATGCATCTAAAAATATATATATAAATATATATATATAAATATATATATATATATATATATATATAAATAAAAAAAAATATATTTAAAATGAAAATTTATATTAAACATCGATGAAGAAAAAAAAAAATTTTCTTCACACCTAATAGACATATTATTCTGTTTCTATTTTTAACATTTATTTTCCCCCCCATTTTAATTTTTATCCTTCATTTTTTTCTCTCAATTAAATATTATATTTCATTTATGTATAATTATTATTGTTCAGTCATTCTCTTACGACCAACCAAGGAAAATATAACAAAAACAAATATTTCTCAGTTCAACATCATTATTTGTAATTTACTTAAATCTGCGGATAAACAAATTTTCATTTTATTTTCTGTCTCTCTTTGTCTTTAAATAAATTTTTAGATGTCTCTTTCTTTAAAAAAATCTAAAAAATTTTACTTTGCTTATCCTTTTCTCAAATATTTATATCAAAATGATATTTCTTCATTTTTGTTACTCTATATTCTCACCTGCTAAAATAAAAAAAAAATGATATACCTATATTTTAAATTTTAATTGTTTTTAAATCTGAATTAAATTTTTTCTTTTATTTATACATAATCGTCGTTCTTAATTTTTGTAATTTCAATTTTTATCCTTTTTATATATTTTTTTTTTTTTTTATGATCTTCATTCTTTTTTTCTTTTTTTTTTTTTTTTATTTTTTTTTTTCTATTTTTTTATTGTATTCTTTTTTACAATTATTTGATGGATATATAAACTATCCTTTTTTAAAAATGAAAATTAATAATGAATTTCTCATTAAAATTAACTGATATATTTAAAAAATTTTAAAAAAAAATATCCAAAAAATAAAATTTAATAAATTAATTTAATAAAATTTAGTTGGTTTATAAATATATAGCCTCCATAAAGAAATGGATATAAAAATCATCTAGACGGTCTATTTTTTTTTTTTAAAATTTGAAAGATTTTTTATAATTTGCCTCAAAAATTTCATTATCAAATATTTTGAAAAAAAAATCTAAAAATTAAAAACAATTTATAATTTGTGTTGCAGTCTATTTTAAAAAATAATTAAATAATTTTATAAATTTTTTAAAGTTTTTATTGAGGTTTTGAAATTGTCTGAAAAAAATTTTTAAAAAATTTGAATAATTTTTGTTTTGGGTTAACGGTTTTGAAATACGTCATCAGTTTATCAGGGAATCATTTAAAAATTGTTTAAATTTCATTTTTGATGATTCAAAAATTTTCCGTTGTATTTTTGAAAATTTTTTTTTATTATTAAATTTTTTTTTTAACACATTTTTTCATGTTTGTTTTTTTGATCCTTCGTTAAATTAAATTTAGATTCAAACAAAGTTTTTTTTTGTTTTTTTTTTTTTTTTTTTTTGGAATTCGTTTTTGTTTTTTCTCAAATTCCATAGATCACCCAAACATTATAAATTTTTTAATTTAAAAGAATAAATGAAAATGTTGTATCAGAGGAACCATTTATAATTTTTTATTTTATTTGAAATGCGTTTTATTCTAAAATTTTAGTGGATATTTGTGCAGTCAAAAACGTTGATAGAAATTCGAAAACATAAAAATAAAAAATATATAAATATTTTATATGAAATGAAATATAATAAAATGATAACAACGACCCATCAGAAAAATATTTATACCATTTTTAAAAGATATATTATATGATATAATATTTATTCAAAATTGTACGATCAAAAAAATTTTTCAATTTTCAACTTAAATTTTTTTTAAATTTTTTGTCTTCGTTTGTCTTATTTTTTTTATTCATTTTATTTTTATTTATAAATATTCTAACACAAATCTTGAAAATATATTCCTTTTTTTTCTATTTCTAACTATTATTCTTTAAAGAAATCGTATGATGAATAAATCTTCTGAAAGAAACAAAAATATTAAAATCAAATTGAAAAAATTTTTTTTTAAAAAAAAACAAAAAAAAAATATTCATTAATATCAATATCTTTATTCTTGATTTTGTTTTTTTATTCTATTGAGTGAAAATTTTTACTATGAAATCTATCTATCTCTTTGGCAAAATATATAAATTTATATATATATATATATATTATATTCATATATATATATTAAGTTTATTTTTACAGACCTGAAAAAAAATATGTTTGAAAAAATTTTTTCTAAATCAAAATAAATTTTAGCTAACTAAAATTTATTAAAGAATAAATTGAAAAAAAAAAATATAAAAATGAATTCATGAAAAAAATTTAAAAAAAAAAAATGTAAAAATGTCTTTTGGAATATTTTTTACCAAATAAAAAAAATTGAATTTAAAGCCATGCAAAGAGAATTAAAATTAAAAAAATTTATTTTCATTCGCAATTATTTAATTTATATATCAATAGAGTTTAAAATATAAATATAAATATATATTAATTTAAAATTTTTTAGATTTATAAAAAAAAACTGTTTTGTTGGATCTGGAGTTGTTAAACAAATGATTAAAGAATTATAGTAATAATAACATTTAAAATCAGTATAACACAAAAAAAGGAAACCCAAGTGAAAAAAATCAAATTACCTCAATTTTTATAAATTTTTCTTCCCATCGAATATTTAATTTTAAATTAATTAATAAAAATTATTTTTTTCATTTCATTTCATTTTAAAATCCATTTCATCCATTGTTCCTGCGCACAAATTCAATAAAATTATATAATTTTATCATTGAAGTCATTTTAAATGACAAAAGTATTTGTCTTCAAACTTTCTTAGTTCAAAAATTGATTTTTTTTAACATTTTTTTCATGACCCATGATCTCTCTCCATTTCTTAGGCAATATGGTTTCTTTGCCTTTTTTTGAGCTTTTTTTTTCATGGCCATAATTGAAATTGTTTATAAAAATTCTGTAAATAATGGAATGATTTAATTTTGGATTTTCAGGTAAAAATTATTTGAAAAAAAAAATGAAATCACTCCTGTCAAAAATTTTAAATGTTAATTGCCTGTTTGAATTCTCCCTAGTTAATTATTTTTAAGGAAATTAAACGCAGATTAAAATAATTTTCCAGCAATAAAATTTAAAGATAAAAAACTCTTTTGTAATCCTTATCTTCATTAACAAAAATTCCTGACGTAAAATAGATTCCCAAGTAGGCATCTACGCGAACGACACTACTATTTCCTCCTGCCTCAGAGACAACTCTAGTGTTGTTGACAAAACTAACCTGGTCGTTCGTCTCGAAAACGACCTCCAGTCGGTTGTGAACTGGGGCAGGAATTGGCTGGTTAACTTTAATACCTCAAAAACAAAACTGCTCTCTATTACTCACCTCAGAGAACCGTGCCTGGATTCCATTAGAATGTTTGATGCTCAAATCCACGAGAGCAAATCTTTGTGACTGCTCGGTCTCACATTGTCTGCTGACCTGAGATGGAACGAAATACATTGAGTCAATAGCTTCGTCCACCGCAAGGAAAGTTGGCTCCCTGTGCCGCACTGGGAAATTTTTTTTCGCCGGAGTCGATCCTTCAAATCTACAAATCAACCATTCGCCCTTGCATGGAGTATTGCTGCCATATATGGTCTGGAGCCCCATTCTGTTCTGTTTGTCTCAAGGTCCTTGATAAAATCCAGAGACGGATATGCAATGTAATTGGCCCTGATCTGGCATCTCGTCTGCAGTCGCTCTCTCACAGACGTGCCGTCGCCTCCCTCTGTTTTTTTTTTATAAATACTTTCATGGTAACTGCTCCGATGAGCTGCTTTCGCTGGTTCCCAGACTTCATGAATTTAAGCGTTCTACTAGGCTGGCACAATCGCTCGCAACCGTTCACTGTCGGAACTGTTACATGTAGCCGTCTCTTCTACGCCAATAGTTTCATGTCTAGCACCTCTCGCCTGTGGAACTACCCCCTTTTCCTATTTCCCTGATAGCTATAATCAACAACTATTCAAATGTAATGTCGATCGACGTCTCCAGATGCCTTGATCTATCCCCTATCCTTCTCTTCATCCTTTCCTCTATCACTCCTATTTGCTCTCGCTCCAACTCTCTGTAACCCCTCTGGTTTTGCGTGCTGATATTAGTG